TCAAGCATTGATCTAATCTTATGCATGGACCTACGGATTAATCGAATTCCTCTATTATATCCTGTTGCGGTGATCATGTATTAAATTAAGGGATTAAATTCAAAAGTTCCCATATAGGACATCGAGAAGTAGCGTTTAAGATATTCGTACGCGATCTTACCAATAATGATATACGGAGCTGAGAACATGATCATGATTGTAGGTATACCATAAGCAGCAAACATCTGGAGTATATTTAACATTTTCCCTCTCTTCTTGGCATCAGAATCCAGGCCTGTTTTCACCTCAACCTCAATCTTATGAGTAAATCAAATTACTGTCTGTTTGTTTTTTATTTGAGAGGAAGTCTCTACCCTTTTATGTGCTATTTTTGATGGAGTTAAGTTTTTTATACAAAACGGAAATGATCAAGAATACAAATTCTATTTGATTTGCTAAAATCTTTGATTTAGGAGATAACTTTTTTGATGAATTATTTATATTTAGATAAATCTTGTTTTCCAAGCCGCAGTGCTCGGCCCATAAATTGACGTAACCAACCCTAACCCTTAAATAATACAGAATGAAGAGATGTCCTAGGTCGGAAAGTTAGTTAGTCACAAGTTCAGTATAGGGGATGTTGATTACCATTCTTTTTACCTGGACAGCATCCAAACTGTTTCTATACTACTACTAAAAGAAGCATACTAGCCAGAAACGCTAGTCGCAAAATCGAATTTTATAATCCTTATATCTTTGCACCTAGATGTCGTAAATTTTTGACATTTCAAACTAAGAATCCAGCTAGATGAAACAGTCTGGTTTAGCAATACAATAGTTTACACCATCAGGTTGCAAAATATAACGATTAGAAATGAGAATTCAGTTCATTTCTTAGAAGTAAAATATTTAAAAGCAACCCATGAAACCAATCATAGTTTCATGGTTTACACCCAACGAGGTTATAGTGTATAGAGTGATGATGTACGCTACTCCTTTACTTATTTTATAGGCCATAAACTAGCTTTATAATATATGATTTATGACTTCTTAAAGGGACTGTAAGAAATTCAAGTGACCCTCCATGCAAAGATATCAATGCCCGATTAACAACGATACCATTGAAACCTTTGACCCCTGGCCGCCATGAGCCTCCCAGATTTTCTATACAGTACCGAGCCTATGCTTTGAAGTATAAAGGAACTAAGTTTTTGTCACAAACTCAAATTGTCTAATCCCTATAGCTTTACAATCTGATTATGTAAACCACTGATATTTCAAGCTTAGATTATTTGGTCTAACAGAATTTGTAGTTTGAAATATCAAAGGTCTACGACATTGGGTAGCAAAGATATAGAGATTAGAAAAGTAGAGTTTGTGGCAAAAACTCAGTTTTTTACGCGAAACGGAAATTATCAAGAATACAACTTCTATTTGATTTGCTAAAATCTTTGATTTAGGAGATAACTTTTTTGATGAATTATTTATATTTAGATAAATCTTGTTTAGTAAAATTACTGTTCAAAGAATTATCTAAATAAACAAAAATCAACATAAATGGCTTGATTTATTCAAAGAATAAGAATAAAAAGGGATAAAATCAGACTATCAACTGCCAATTCCTGAGCATTGAAGAATTTGCAGAGCAGATTTTGCAATTTT